AAATAGAATATTAGAAATAAATTTGAAATAGACGTATAAAGACATTTTTTTACTCAAAAATGTCGTATTGGATGAGTCATCTTCGCTACACTCTGTTTTTGTTTTCCTCGATTTTTTTATTTTTCTTAATAGACTTTCCTAAAATTATTATTTTTTTTAAAATTGTTAGTAAATAAATAAAAATATTTAAAAAAAATTATAACTTACAGAAACAATTGATTTGTCATCACTAGAGATGTAAGTACTCATTTTGTTATGTTCTTCGTGTGGCTTGACTTCTGAAAGACTGGAGCTGAAGTGATTTTTTAATATCAGTTTCAGGTATGTTTTATACCTAATAAGTAAAAAAAGTATCTCCCTTCTATATATATATATACATATATATGATGTATATTAAACAAAGTATGACCTCCAGACACGATAATTACGATAATTACTCATGACAATCATGTGTTGACATAGGTGTTGAATGTGTTAAGTACACACATCTGTATAACCTATTTTCTAAACAATTAACCTTAACACACTTAATTCGGCTAGGAGGTAAATTGAGTGCGGGGTTAGTAGAGGTTAAAATTTGTGTATAAAACCCTAAGAAATCGTGTACATTATTATCAGTTTGTGTCCAAACGTTTCAACAGTAAAAACTTACTCAAATCCATTGATCGTCATCTATTCTTTTTTGGTAAGTACAATATTAGTAAACTAACTCATTCAAACTATACCTATATTTATTAGTAGATAAAATGATAGTTCTTTAGTTTAAATCACATGCATTTTGTTTTTTTACTTTGATCTTAATAAGTTTTTAATTTATACTTACGTAGAACTAGAAACATTAGTTTAATTTAATTAAGCTGAATACAGTGTAGTGTCTCAATTTGTAAGTTAGTAGTTTAATTCACCTACAATATCTTAATTTATTTTAAGCTTACACAGCGCTGGAAATACGTTTTTACACCAAGTCATGTCTGTTTGATTTATTTAAACTTACACAGAACTGGAAATACATATTTATACCAAGCCATGTCTGCTTAATTTAATTAAGTTGAATACAGTATAGTGCCTCAATTTTAAAGTTGAATATTATTATAAGTTAGTAGTTTAATTCACCTAAATTATTTTTTTACTTTGATCTTAGTAAGTTCAATATCTTAATTAAATTTAAAACTTACATAGTGCTGGAAATAGGTTTTTTTTTCACCGAGTCATGTCTGTTTAATTTATTTAAACTTACATAGAACTGGAAAAAAAAGAAAACATGTTTATACCAAGCCATGTCTGTTTAATTTAATTAGGCTGAATACAGTATAGTGTCTCCAATTTTAAAAGTTAAGTATTATTATAAGTTAGTAGTTTACTTTGATCTTAGTAAGTTCAATTATCAAGTTTCAATATCTTAATTTAAACCTACACAGCATTGAATACAGTAGTTTATACTAAGTTATGTCTGTTTAATTAATCTTAAACCGAATTTTTTTTTTTAAGTTAATTATTATTATATACTAGTATAATTTATAATTTATTTTTTTATAGTATCGCTGTACTACACTATCACTACCACTGTAAGTATTATATTGACCATAGTTTTTTTACTCACATGTTATGGCACAACCGAACGGTACATTTTGTTTAACAGACCACGAGAGAGCTCGCTTGTTTAAAAATTAAAAAAAAAACAAAAAAATACCAATAGAATTAGACGAGCAAAAAAAATGTCAATTATAAAAAAAAATATGGAGATATATAAAAAAACATGAATTAGATAATAAAATAAATAGAATGTTTAAAACAATTATTAAAACTATTGAAGAAAATATTAAAAAAAATGATAAAAAAAAATACTAGTTTTTTTTAAATTTTAATGTATATTTAGAAGGTTTGAGATTTTTTATGTAGTAATATTACAATATAGTATAATACAATAAAAAATTTAAGAGAAGTTATTATTAAGTACTTAAGTTTAAGTTGATTATTAAAACATACTTGTAAATATTTATATAAATTTGTAATAAATATTGTTTTTTTTTTTTTGTGCTACCTATTTGTAATTTAGTTGTAAACTTTCATATAATCAAAAAAAATGTTCTTCATAGTTTTCAAAATGGTGCAAACTACAAAAAGCTCAAATTATAGCGAGGTATGTTTAAATTGCCCGTTAAACGTAGACCATCTTATTCCGGCAAAAAAAATACACCAGCACCTTAGGAGGAAGCATGGTGTGGAAAAATGTCCACGCTGGGATATATGGAGGATGGTTTGACGAAAAGGTTTTTGGTGTAATAGAAGATTGGGATGACGAGGCGCAAATTCCAGCAGCAATTAATAAAAATGTTTACTTTCCGTACAAATCTTAATTTGTATAATTTTTTTGCTAATCTATAAAATAAAATAAAGGTTGATCACCCTACTTGATAATTATCTTTTATTCTCTTTTAGCAGTCGGTTAATTGTATACTAGAATTAAACTATACAATATCATTAAAATACTCTATGTATGTAGGTACTTAATAAAGTATGATGTATTCCGCCAGTCAGCCTATAACTATTTAACGGTTTTTTGATACTATATCACATTTGTTTAATTTTGTTTTACAGTTGAAATGAGTAATATTACGAAGCAGATGCGTCTTAATATAGTTGGAGATGGTTTAGAGGAAATAGAATCATTTAGAAAGCGACGTTCAAAAACATATTTTTTAAAAAACTTGTTTTAAGTCTTCATTGTTTACTAATCTTGGTTCTTTTTCACATAGTAATGACCATAATCCAGGAGTCCAATCATAAACTTGGTCTACCACTCTTAATTTATCATTCTCAATTGATATAGGATAAGACCCAATTTTCAGTTCTTTGTCGGCTTTATCATAATGCATACCATATAATTAATCATAAGTTCGTTTATTCGGGGAAATTGATACAAAGTTATTAAATTCCTCTAATTGACTGTTTGAAGTAGCTTCTACATCGTGTTGACTATTTTCTAAATTAGACATTTCATTATCTAACATACGACTGCCTTTATTAGCGTCACTATTATTAACTATTCTATTAAGTGGTTCTATTATTGGTTTAAATGTTTCATTAAATGTATGCTCAGAGTCTAAAACTCCACGTTTTAACTCCATAATTTTAAGTTTGATGTTGTTTCTTGATTCTATTAAGTTCTTTAATAAGTTTTCTTCTCGCTCCATACTGCTAAACTGAGATTACTTGGCTATATCTAAGCTTATATAGACATCAAAACCTCGTCTATACCGTCCATCATTCATATTTCTAGTTTTATCTATAACAATAAATCCATAATTATCATGATTCCAACACGAATAGCACAATTTCCGGAATTCTGAAAAATCAAAAAAATCTGTTGAACAGTGATCATGAAAAATGTGTCCTAAATTTCGATCATCTTGTTTAAATATCATTATGAAATTACAGTTATCACGCACCTGCTGCTTCAACATTTTGGAGTATGATTGATTTAAAAAGAATATAGAGTTAGCTCCGAAATGTCTTCCCATACTGAAATATTCTCGAATAGGTGTTTGTATATCACATATAATATCGTCAAATATAAAAATAGAATTTGGCTTAGTTAATTGTGGTTTAATAACATCATTAGCAACAGTAAATGTATACAAATTAGCTTCTTTTATACCATCAAATATTTGTTTTAGTAAAACATATTTTTCTTGATTTAGAGTTTTTGAATATATGTAAACATTTTCAAATTTTAGACCGTTTATATGTGTAAGAAGATTAATCATAACATTAGTTTTTCCCGAAGAACTTGCCCCAACTAGGATCCCTCGAATACTATCGGGTAACAAAGGCCCATGTCGGGATGGTTTTTCCAAAATTTGTGTGTCAATATTCTTAATATCTAAGTTGTTGTCTTGTTCAATAAAACGCATCTTTGTGTATAAATAGTAAGCACAATCTTAGACGCTCCTCAGTATGTATATGAAATGCAAAGAGTTCGATGAAAAAAAAAAGTTGAGTGGTACAGGTTTCGTGAATACGCTAATAAATAAACTACCTTTCGAAGCGCATATTCCAACGTATAAATACTGTGGACCTGGTACAAAACTTGAGAAAAGATTTGTTAGAGGAGATAAGCCTAAAAACCTTCTTGGTGAAGCCTGTCGTAATCATGATATATCATATTTAAAAATAAAGATTTAATAAATCGTCATAAGGCTGATAAAATATTAGAACAACAAGTCTGACAAAGGGTAAAAGCCAAAAACAGCTCATTTGGGGAGTGGGTTGCTGCATACGCTGTAACAAATCTTATGAAAGCTAAACGCAAAATTGGTATGGGTTGTTGTAATGCTAAAAAAGGTGGAAAACTAGTTGGAGTTGTAAGAAAGAAATTAACTCGAAAAAAAACTAAAAAAACTAGGAAAATTAAAGTACCAAATCAAAGGGGTTCTGCTATACCCCTAATTCCTATTTTTGCAGGCCTTTCGGCTCTCGGTAGTCTCGCATCTAGCGCTGCGAATATCTACAGTAAAATTAAAGATTCTAAAAGTGGTCAAACGAAAAAAATTGGAAGAGGTTTATATTTGAATGTTCGTAATGGTAAAGGTTTATACTTAGATAAATCAGGTTTAGGTGTAAAGAAAAAAAAGAAATATTAAGAAAAAAACTAATTAGTATGCTACCTAACAGACCTCTTTCTTCACAAGGCATTATAAAACATGTTGCACAGTTAAAAATTCCACATTTCCGTGGTGTATTTTCACGCGACAGCTTACCGAAAAACATTTTTAAAAACGAGTGTGCGGTTGTTAACCTTTCCGAAGTAAGTCAAAAAGGGTCACATTGGGTAGCATTCATTAAAAAAGATAATAGCATTTGGTATTTTGACAGCTTTGGTGATCTACCACCACCAATAGAACTCCAAAATCATTTTAAAGGATATCGTATTTTGTGTATTCAAACTATCAAAACTTTAATACATTTATTTGTGGTCATTTATGTATTGATTTTTTACAATGTATGAATCAACAACTATAAGTCTATCAGGTAACACGACAGAGTTATCAACAAATTTTTTCCCAATACTAATTGTAGCAGAGGATTCGGAAATAGCGTTATTGAATCTTCAGACGTATAATTCTTTTCCTAATATTAACGAAAGCAATAACAGATTAAGAATAATTATAAATAAAAACAAAATCAGTAAGCGAGATATTATCCCTAAAGATAATACCTCATTTGATCATGCAATTGATGATAATAAAAATAAAACTGATACATCTGAAAATAATAAAAAACATAAAATCGATAATTCTTTAGCAACCGAAAATAGTAGTTCTCGTCATATCGATGGTGTAATATCTGAAGTAGCTAATATTGATAAATCGACTGATATATTCCATAAAATTAAGCATTTGCATGAACCTAATAATCATGACCCGTCATTGTTAATAACACAAGGTCCAAATTCAGATGAAGAAATGTTAGATATTGAAATAGAATCGGGGTGTTATGAACTAAGTCAAATAAATGACTACATCAAAAACGAAATTAAAAAAACTAATCGTGATATTGTATTCAGCATACTACCAAATATTAATACTTTTAGGTCTTATGTCTACTGTTCTGAAGCAGTCGATTTTACTATTGATAATAGTTTAAGACATGTTTTAGGATTTGATAAAACAAAACTAGAACCACAAATATTACATGAATCTCAAAGAACTGTTAATATTAATATTATTAATTCAATAAAAGTATTATGCAGTATTGCTCAAGGATCATTTAATGGTAACAAGCCTTCACACTCAGTCTATGAGTTCTACCCTACAGCGCTTCATGGCTCAAAACTTGTTGAAGCACCTAACAACTTAATTTATTATCCACTAATAACAAACGAGATCAATAATATAACTATAACTCTAGTTGATCAAGATCAAAGACCGCTAAAGCATTTAGGTGAAAAAACTACAGTAGTTTTACATATCAAACGGTACGGTTCATAAAATGGGGTTGAAGTTTAATACATCTCATTACAAAATTCCAGATATAAGGTTACCACTAGCTAACAAATCTATCACTCTTAAAAAGAAGTCCAAACAAGGAGCATCAGGAAACAAACTTATAAAATTAAACTCTAAAAGCCGAAATACTTTAAGACAATTAGGATTTGAATTGGTAAAAGATGCCTGAAAACAGTATTTTAGAAGTTGATACAGGTTTTACAACCGATTCAAAAATAACTAATTTTGATTTTCATTCTTATATCCCCTTTACAAAAGCCTTTAACAAAAATGATGAGATAAGAATATGTGTACAGCAGACTGATGTTTATCCGTATTTACATGAAAGTTTTTTATATATGGAAGGTAATATTACAGATGCTAGTAAAGTAAAACTAGGTAATAATGGATTATCATTTCTTTTTGAACAAGTTCGTTTAGAGCTAAATGGGATTGAAATCGATAGCTCACGTTTGATGGGTGTCACTAGTTCAATCAAAGGATATTTATCTAGTACCCCAGATAATTATTTTTGTTATGAAAATGCTGGATGGACTTATCGAAATAATACAACTATAACAAATACATCCGGTCATTTTACTGCTTGTATTCCTTTGAAATATTGGATGGGTTTCTTTGAAGATTTCAGAAAAATTATATTAAATTCTCGACTTGAACTAATATTAACAAGATCAAATAGTGATTTGAATGCTTTAATTAAAGCAGTTGATACAGATGATAAAACAACAACGGGAAGTGTAGAAATAAATAATATTGTTTGGAAAATTCCTCATGTTAGCGTAGACGATAGCCAACGATTAAAGTTAATGAAGGTTGTTGAAAAAGAAAAGAGTTTGTTTTTACCATTCAGAACATGGGAAACGTATACTTATCCTGAACTCGGGAATTCAACAAATGTTACATGGAATTTAAAAACATCGTCGAAATTGGAAAAGCCTCGTTTTATTATTGTGGGCTTACAAAAAAATTGTATCAATACACTAAACAAGGATAGAAGTGAATTTGATCATTCTAAGTTAAAAAACATAAAAGTATTTCTAAACTCGAACGTTTACCCATACGATAATTTAAACTTAGATTTTACAAAAAATAATTTCACTTTGTTGTATAATATGTACACATCTTTTCAAGAATCATACTATGAAAATGGTCTTCGGAATCCGATTTTAAGCCCATCATCATTTTCAACTAAAGCTCCAATTGTTGTTTTAGATGTTAGCAAACAGAGTGACTCTGAGAACGTTTCTACAATTGACTTGAGATTAGAAATTGAGGGACGGGATAATTTATCAGGTGTTAGCGCATTTTGTGTATTAATACATGATCGTGTTGTAGAGTATGTACCATTTACAAGAGTAAACTTGTATAGTTTTTACTATGTAGGGAGTGGGAGGACAAATTGTATTATATAAAGACATTTCTCCAGCAAATTTTACTCATTTTATAACAACACGCTAAACTGTATGTATTAAAGTTAAATTTATAATAACGCTATAGTTATGAACAATTGTGTTGATGAGTGTGGTGATTTTCATAAGATTTTAGACTATAAAAATTGTTTAAATCGTAACAAAACATTTGATATGTGTAATAATGAAATATGCCTTTCAAAACGGGGAATTTTGAGTGAAGCTGGATTTGTGTATATCGGTGATGGGATGAACGACGCTGTCGCTTGCTTTACATGTTGGCAGCGTCTCAGAACTTGGGAACTTGATGATGATCCGTGGGTTGAACATGCTTTGTGGTCACCAACTTGCGGCTATGTTCGATTGGTGAAGGGTTCTCTATGAATTGTTCTAACATATTTTAATTTAAAGAAATGTATTTGTTTTATAACTTTTAAAAAAAACAATAAAATAATAAATTTTTATTATATTTACGTTGCATATATATTTTTTTTATATCTATAAAACCCTTTACATTATATTAAGTTAGTCATTTTTGTTAAAACCTTTGTATGGTAGCTATCTATTAGTAAGATGGATTATTTTGGTCGTAACAGAAATCATTTAAATAATAATACAATTTTGGTAAATTTCCAAAGTGGTGTGAATGCATTAATGGGGTTAATAGAAAGTTTAAATAATTCACTTAATACCTATAACGATAATTTAGAAAAGAAACTAGTGGGGTTAATAGAAAGTTTAAATAATTCACTTAATACCTATAACGATAATTTAGAAAAGAAACTAATGGGGTTAATAGAAACCTTAAATAATTCACTAAATACCTATAATGATAATTTAGAAAAGAAACTAAAAACACAAAGTGAAACATTTACTAATGTAACAAAAAATATAATAGATAAGTCTTACATTGCTTTAAAAATTGTAAACCAATATGTATTTTGTTGTTTTTTTTTTTAAATTAATTAAAAATTTGATCTTGTAAATTTGTTATTATTCTATATCTCTATACAATTATTCTAATTTCTCTATGGTTCTAAGTGGGTTGTGAATGCCCATTAGTTCTAAGTGGGCTGTGAATGCCCATCAGTTATAAGTGGGCTGTGAATGCCCATTGGTAAAAAGGTTGCTGTGAATGCCCATTGGTTAAAAGATTGCTGTGAATGCCCTTATTACTACTACTAACATTTGTTTATTACTAATTATCTTTTTCTATTTGGACTGATTTATAATTATATTAATTATTTTGTAAAACTTTATATTATATAAAAGTATTTGTATATTTTTGTCAATTAATTATTTATTGTAATAATTTTTATTTATCTTTTATTGTTTCTTTTTTAATGTTCATATACAATCATATATTATTATAAAGGACCTAGGTCCGTTAAATTGTTTATAAAATAAAATAAAAAATACAATAACCTAATGACTTCAAATTTATGTACTTTTATTTACTAAAAACACTTTAAAAAATTAACGCGTATCGTCCTCCCCTGTGACCAATTGGACACTGTCCATTGAAGTGGTGAGTTCCGTTGTGATAGATGTAGGCTTATGACAAGGGAGAACTAGAATATCACGCGGCATCGTGATTAAAAAATTTCTGATTTTTTAATCGGAAACCTTTTTTCGACGTTTATTGTCATTTCGCGTTTGTTTATTGTTTTCTTATCTACACACTGTGTATCAAGTCATATCAACGTCGACCAGTAAGAAAGAGCCGATAACTTGCATTGGCATTGTGTTTGCCTCAAACTAATTACTACTAACTAATTCGTGTATGTAGAGAAATTGGAAATCAACCGAGCACGCAGAGAAGCATCGACGATACGGCCAAGAACATTGTGCAAAACAAATCGTTTCCCGGTTACAAAATGCTCAACCCGAAAGCGTACTCGACCATAATAGTCGCCAACGCCCAATTAGTATTAAACACCACCGGAGAAACAGCATATATATAATTTATATTCAATTTAATAACATAAATAAAATACATTATTTTGTTCGGGCCCTTTTTATCTAAAAGAAAGTACTTTTATAATTGAAACTTTAGTGTATACCATATATACTATAGTAGGTATAATGGACTGTAATTATTATTAAAAATCAATCGTCTAGCAATACAACGAGAACTGAGTCTTATATCAATCAAATATCCAACATTTATCCTTCGGAAATATAGAAAAATACTAGGTCATATGTTACAAGGTGGATTATTAAAAAATTAAGTCATGTTTAAATAATTGTAAAATATGTATTTATAAATTAACTTCTCATAAATTTCTTAGTGAACATAGTTTTATAAAATCTTTTGAATATGAAAACTGTAATTTAAATTATCCTAAAACTGAAGCTTCAAATTTATATGGTTATCTGATACATTTATTCAATTTACATATATCCGATGTAATTGACAAGTCAAATGTAAAAAAAGAAATTATTTTGGTCCTTAAAAATTGTATTAATTCCGAGTCATTACATAGTCCCAAGCATAACTTATTTGATATATTCTTAAAAACTTCTGTTCATTTATTAATTTTTTCATTTGTTAAAAAAATAAATTGTATTTTAAAAATAGGAGACAAACACAAAAGTACAAATAATAATATAAAAATTGCTGCCATAAAATATTATACAAAATACAAGTCTAAATTTGCCAAAATTAATTCTATGAAATTTGGAGGTAAATGATTTTATTTATTTATATTTTTTGTATTGAAAAATCAGCAAAAAATGATTTTATATAATGTTATATTATTGGCAATCTTTTTTATCCAATTCATATAGTTTAATTGATATGTCTCGACAAGTAATAATACTCTTAAAATTTATTTTTAAATTTATTAAACTGCAATTCTTATCAATTATCTAACATTTTTAAAAAAATTATCTTTCTGGAATCACCAATTGAATTATATTTATGTGATATGATTTATTATCAAAATATACATGTCTTATGTTTTAATGTTTTAAATAAATATTAATGTTAATTGTTTTAAACCTGTTTAATGAATAAGTTTTACTGAGTTTTACCGTATACATTGTCATATATTATTTTACAAAAGTATATTGTAATATTGTATGTATCTCACTGAAAATAAATATTATTTTATAAACGTGACTTCAATGGTTATTATTTGTTAGTGTTTAATAAATTATTTTGGTTTCAACAAAAAATATAAACAAAAAATCGAATATTTACTGATAATCGATAAATAAAACAATTGATAATTAATATCAATAGTTGAACATGAATAGGTAGACAACCGTCAGTAGCGCTTGTGTCGCTATTTCTTGGCGATAACGGAGAGTGCACTTTCTATTTAATCTCTTTTCTGTGACATTGATCCGCGACTGCCATCCGCCGCCGTCCCGCGTATTCACTTAATATACTTCCATATTGTTTTCAAAGTTAATAAAAAAACCACAACTTTTAATCAGGTTTTATCTATTTTCTTCAACCCCCCCTTACTACCGTGTCAAATTTGGCTCCCCGCTGAGGAAAAAGTCCCAGTGTTCAGCGAAACCAGGTAGGATTATTTTGGCCGCTGTTTTACTGAGAAAAAATTT